GTTAAAAATTTAGTTATAAACTATGACAATTATAAATGTATGAATCATATGGTGAAAAACTGACTTTGAAAAATAAATCTGTTCTTTTTTTCTTATAAAAGGCTAAATAAAACAAAAATATTGGTGGTAATTTTTGACTGTGTAACTTTACAAACGGCACCCCATGTGAGTAGGAGTTTTGGTGAGCTACATAAAAAAGTATTTAGAACATATTTTTAGCAGGCACTCACTGGCATGAAAGCACATCTTGAGTATTTGGATCTGCAAGCCTAACATCTATTGCCAGTGATGATTTTTTGGCTTGAATATTTGATCAGTTTCACCCTAATTTAGATATTTTTTTCTTTCTGTACGAGTGTGACCTAAATAAAGTCTTTTTTGCAGTAATGCAATGGTCAGGCRCCGTTGCAAGAATGATAACAAGCATGAAGGAATTTATTAGTTAGATACTGATTTTAAAAGCACTACACCATTTTCTTAGTTTTCCTAAGTATTGACTTTTATAATCCATTGTTTGACTATTGTTACGTCTTGATTAAAATAGTTTAGATACATGCCCAAAACACCATCACAACACATAAAAAACTGTTAATCAAACATAAGTACAGTTTTTTTTGTCTGAGTGTCTGCGATTCAACCGTAGGCCAGTAGTGGGCATACCAGGCACTGAAGAGCCCCGTATAAAAAGACCGGAACTTCTGGTTTCGGACAGCGTTTTTCTGGTTGCTTCAGCGTGAGCAATAAAGGCTCGCTCATTAACCAGATCTGTGTAGTATGGTCCTCTTCTCTTCATATTTTAATCTATTCAACATTTATATGGTTTCGTCTCGATTTCAGTTAACGAACACTAAACTTGCTTACAAGCGTATAAAATTGATAAGTGTTGGAGCCATTTTTCTTTCCCTCAAATGCTTCCATACCTGTGAGGATAACAATGTTGATGTCATCTCTCGCTGTCTGGAACTGGTCAGGAATACGAAGATTGCAGTAAACATCTTCCTTTCTCAGTCCAGTGAGTTTTCTACAATAGAAGTACACAGAAGATTCATATTTTAGGAGTAAAACCAAAAGTATTTCCACAAGTTGGTTACTTATGGCTCGCTTTAGCAAGACCTTGTCTCTTGATATTACCGTTAAGTTTGGCTGTAGCCTTTTGAGTCATGTGATCCAAGTAGACTCATTTATAGGGGTGTAGTAATTAGGGTTGGGCGAYAGTGGTTAAAAAAATGAATCACAATTAATTGTAGTATGTAGCCGATAACAATTATAATGATGATTAATCCCCTGGATGTCCTCATATCCTAGTCACATGACCAATTAAAATCCCTCTAGTAGGAAAGACTTGCTCTCCGTAAAAATCTGTTCCAAATTGTGTCAAAAGTACAGACTTCAGGCCAAACATTTTTAAAATTGTGTTGAGCGACCACGTAAAACCGGAGTTATGATAAATATATTACAGAATTTTATTTTTAAATGTTCGTTATATTTGAAGCGGAGAGGAGCTTCGAGCGGACAGACCGGGGAAATCTCCAGTCAGGCTGCCTGGTGGCATTAATCGTATTAATCATCAAGTGCCAAAAATACTTGATTTAACTTTTTCTGACGATTAATTGCACACAATATGATTTTGCCCAACCCTAGTAGTAATATATCAATCCACATCTATATATCCATTAAATGATTAATGGTTCAATTACGTCAGGGTTAAACGAAAGCATTGATCCATATTATCGTCTTTTGTGCGATGTGGCTCGATATCATGTTCATACAACACAATCATTGTTAGATGGGCATACAGCGGGTAAAATAAGTATTGAACACGTCAACATTTTTCTCAGTAAATATGTTACTAGAGGTGCTAATGACATGAAATTTTCACCAGATGTTGGTAACAACCCAAGTGATCCATTCATACAAAGAAATCAAA